GGGTCGCGTGGAAGCCGGAGAGAGCCTCTGGCGCGCTCTGAGAGGGCACCGGGAGGCGACAGTGAATGCAGCCTCGCTTTGCTGAACTCGAAAGGCCTGCGCGCCACGCTTCTTTGCATGACCCCGCCGGGCTCGCCGAGGAGGACCCCCTGTGTTGGTTCTGGGCCTGAAGCTAGCCTTGCCTTGGAAGCCTGCAGTTTTTTGGGTCGCGTGGTATGCAGAAGGTGGCTGTAAAGTGGTGCGTGACACAGCGGCGGCAGAGGACAGCCAGGCCCCGGTGGGCCTGTTACAACCCTGACCTCGCTCTCTCAGGCGCAGTGCCTTCTGCTGCACGACCCGTGAAGTCACTGTCCCTGTAATTCCCAGTTTTGGGGTTCTATGCTATGAAGTTGGATTCTATTTAACTTTTTCTAACCACCTCCACTTTTGGTGGCTGATTGTAAAATAAACTCATTCATTCCTTCATTGCTGTCTCAAGACAAACATAAAGATTAGGGTGTACTTCCAGCCCCTGAGGTCACAAATCTGGGTATAAAGGACAGAACAAAGACACTGGCTTTATTATGGGGTTATTTGTCCACTCAAAGTTCCTGCAGTTCTTGGTATGACCTTTCAGGATTCGCTTCTTGCCAAATTAACCAAAAGTCCTATAAATCAGTCTGCTACAACGCTGGTTCCTAATGTTGTTTCACAATCCTTTCACAGGGATACTTTGGTTTATTGTGAAGAATTTAACTGCCCTTTGTTGTCTGGTTTTTTTTTTTTTTTTTAAACCAAATGGGTGCAGAATGAAATTAGAGGTGACTAAGTGACCGTGGAGAAGTGAGGAAGTTGAACAATAAAATCATCAAAACTTAGGTTTGGAAGGACCGTTGGAGACCATTGGGACATGCTCCATTCAACACAATTATCCTGTTTCTAGAATATTCTTCAGCCCCTTGCCAGCCACTTCAGGGCTAAGTGTTTAGCATACGGCAAGAGGTCCAGTCTGCGTTTTTCTTTTATTTTGACAGTCTTTCTTAAAAAGAAAGCTTTTCTTTATGTAGAGGCCGATCTGTGCCTCTTTAACTTTGACCAAATGCTGTAGTCTGCGCTCTGAGGTAACAAAGCTGCGGACAGCAGGTAGGTGGTGTGGTTGTGTGTGTGTGTGTGTGTGTGTGTGTGTGTGCACGAGCAACTGCAGACTGCATGGGTGGGAATGAGGCTGAGCAAGGTTTGCTTGAAAGCCGGTGCAGTTATCCTACAGTTCTGCTCTTGTTCCAGCTTGTCCTGGTGGATCACTTTGGGCTCACTGGTAGGTCAAACTTAAAAGCAAAGTTTGGGAAGCCCTGTCCTAACATCTTCCCAGCTATTCAACATCAGCCAGAGAGTGGCGTCTGTGTTTTTGTATGATTCACCATAAAGTGCCTTTATCATCTGGTTTCTTTCCTTTCGGCACATTTCCACTCATTTCTGTGGTATAATTCTTTCTGAAGGACCCATCTATTTCTGATACAATTTGCTGTTCAGAAAATACAAGAAGTCATGAGCTGTCACTTTCCTTATGGAATTTCCTGAAATTAAATATTGCACAAAGTTTCTGCTTTAGTTTTTGGTTTTGTTCTACAGGCTCACTGCTGCGTCGTGTTCACGGTAGGCACTCACTAAACCTATTAATGAGTTCTTGTTTTTGCTAGTCAGAGCCCTGACTTACTTTTGACATATGGATCTAGTTTAGTGTAGTATTGTGACCTTTAGGACTCACGCAGATGCTAACTTACCAACTTGTTAGTTGTAAATGTCACTGTTTGGATCCTAAAGCATACTGTTGGTTTTAGAGGAAGAACTGTGACCAGTCCCCCCAAATTTGTAGTGTGTATCTATTCACTTAATTTTTGCAGTATCCAGACTTGAACCCAAGGCCTCATGCATGCTAGGTAAGTAAGCACACTGTCACTGAACTATATATACAGTGCCCTACACTCAAAATTATTTAACATATAGTAGAGTTCTACCTATTGTTCTTTAAAAAAAAAAAATCCATAAGCCCAGATCACCCCTGCAGTAATTCCAGAGGAAACAAATCCTAAATTCCAACCAGGAACTCTTGAGAATGAACAGCCCAGCCACAATGAGCGATCACACCCGTGAAACCAAAATCTCTTGGGGTGGACTTTAAGACTGCATTGCCAGAGTGCCTAGTGCATAACGAGCTGAAATTAATGTGTATGTGTTGAAAGAGTTAGTTTGGTGTAACAGATGGTGTGTATCATGGAAAGAATATTAATCTCTTTGTTGAAAATTTTAAAAAATATTCTATTACTATAGAGATTGTAGCACAATTTCAATTTAAAAGGGGCTGGAAATACCACAAACAATCCATAAATTAGACTGAATGGCAGTACTTTTAGTTCTCTTGCCAGCTAAACAGGACTGGGGTTGTCATGCTTGTGGACTTGATTAATTTTTCTTTTGCTTTTCCCCTTTATCTTCTATGAAGTTAGACAGTGCTGCACTTTTTTTCTTCCCAAGAATGGACTGCATGTTTATGGTGAAAAGTTATATTTTCAAAGAGACTACAAGTGCCTGATCAAAGAATGAAAATTTTAACTTTCTTTAATATCTAAAACATATTATGTAATAAATTGAACATTTATTTTAGAATGCCTTATATTAAAGCTTTTCAAACCAGTTTAGGCTTAAGAACTCAAAGTTCTTATGAAGTGCCACATAATCCAGCAGAAGAATATCCAGAAAATGAAAATAGGTAAAATAGAGAAGATTTTTTAAATGACGTTATAGATGGCTTGTTTCACTTTATCATTATATGGTCTCACATAGTTCACAAACTCATTTATAGAGAGTACCTCTCAACTAATAGAGGCTTCCTTGTTTTCTTTAGAATTCACCTCACTGAAATTTTATTAATGACTTATAGCTGACCATTCTTACCTTAAATATAAAAGTGAATATATCAAGAAAGTTACTTTCTCTAAGTTATTTGAAGTAATATCTTAATAACTTGGTCTTTATAAAACATCATATAGTTTTTCACTACCAGAACTAATAAATCTAGAAAATAACAAATTTTACCCGAAGATATTTAATGTTCTGAAATACTTACTTTCCACTTTTGAGTTGTTTCTTTGGCATTATTGTGGTCATTTAGGAAAAATAGAGGATGCCCTACCCCCATCCCATGGTTGTTTAATAGGAGTGAAAACCAGTTTAGCCAACTAAACAAGAGATTTGCAGAAATGCTTTACTTGAGATTCAGTTCACTTGCCAAATAACACAGGTGTGCCTTTTACCAGCTCAAGGGTTTTCTAAGCATCAAATTTGGTTTCAGTACACATTACATTAGCTCCTTCCTAGATTCCAGCGAAGTGGGGTTCTGCTAATCAGGTGGGAAGAAACTGAGGTCCTGATAAACACGATATTAACTAAATAAACAACTGCCAAGAAGCCAAATACCGTCACACTATGTTAGAGAAGACATTAATACCGATACTGAGATGTTAAAATAGCACGTCTGTGTTCCTTTTTCCTTCTATTTTCTCCAACACTCTTAGTTTATCGTAATGCTCTACATGAACTCTATGCTATTTGTAATCTACTTAGCAAGAAAGCTACAGAGTGATAGGAGTGGTTAGGGAATTAACATACGCTTACCATTGTATCACTGTGCATATAGAAATGTAATATATATTTTGTGTTGTGCAAATGTAAATGTGCAGATGGTTGTGTTATTTTATCATTTGTCAATCTCTGATATCAAAATGCATCAAAATGTTTTCATGGGTCTATTATAAGTTCTTGCTATTTACCTTGTGGATTTGTTTGTAGTGCATTCATTTGAAACATCCTCATTCCCAAACACTAAGGTATCTTAGGATCATCTAGGTGACTCTTGAGCCCATGGAGGGATATGGTATGGGTGTCAGCAGCTTATAGCTGTCTTGGCAAATCCCCTGCCAGCCTGGAATGACTCACTCTGGAATACTGGAAACTTCCAGGGGTTACGATAGATTGGATGTGCTTTTTTGGTCAATGAGCACTTCATGTATATTGATTCAACCTACGTATCCAGGTTGAAGCAGTAAGTAAATCTTTATTTTTAGACATGTCATTTTATTTCTTTGAGTTAGAGTTTCCACTTTCATTGACCTCTACAATCATTTCCAACTCTAAGAATGTCTGTAAGTCCATGATTCCTAGGAAATGCCGTCATTCACAGACACAAGCAATAAGGAAAGGTGTAAGCTATTTCCTTTGGTGTTCTCGTTGCGTTACTTTTTACCTGCTTTCTGTCTTTCTCCTTTGCTATGTTCAAAGCGCGTGTATCAGTAGCTGTGAGGAGGGGACAGTGCATGGAGACAGTCTTTTAAAAATCTCCTGGGACTGCCAGGAGATTCCAGAGGGTAAGACCCCTTTGTAGAGGAAAGAGCTGTCCATTACAGTCCCCAAAGGGTTCAAGACCACTCTGCAGTGGCAGGAGCAAATTCAAGGACCACTAGGAAACCAAGTTTCCTTAAGAGACCAATGTTTAGGTCACTCTCAGATCTGTTTGAGGCAGAGGGTCTCCCTGCCACAGAAAAGACTTTGTCTCTGGGTCATGTTTAGCTGCCATTTCAAAGATTGCTCACCCATCACTGACCCAGACCTTGAGTGCATGGCCGCACCAGGGAACTCCCTGAAACTCATTCAGGTATCAGAGGCCTTCCTTCACAGCCTTTAGTTGAGCTCTTGGGGGAATCCTGCCCCTACTACTGGCCTCTTTGGCAACTTCCTGTTTCATTCTCTATGTCCCGAGGGATGCTAAGTGGAAAGTCCAACCATATACTAGACAGATTAGTGTTAAACCCGTGGGCTGGTCCCTTTCTGTCAGGGCAGACAAGGTGGGATTCCTATGGGTTTTATCAGCAGCACCAGTGGCATCGGGGTTAGAAACGCCTAGCCAGCACTTTTCTTGAAGAGATGGACAGCCCAGGGATGCTTGGCCCCTTTGAGGCTAGAATCTGGATACCTCTCCCCTAGTATCCATCTGATTATCCCATTTTTCATGGATTTTTTTTCCTTTTATTAGACTAGGACACCTGGGGATCAGCTCATCAGTACCTTCTAACTCATTGCTCAGGAGCATCTCCAACCAGTGGGAGACCCTAAAGGAGAAAAGGCTCATTTTCCTTTGTAATACTGCATGGCCTATGTACATGCTAAGATGAGGAGACTTGGCCAACAGAAGGCAGCCTAAATTGTAATACCATTTTTACAATATTCTGCTGACTATGGCATGAGCCATTGGGCTGTGTGGGATAGACAGTTAGATACACCCTTCCAGGATAAAGTTGTGCCCGCCAGGTGGGTACACCACATTACCCACCTGGGGCATTCCAACAAGCCCAAAAGGATTATGGGAGGCAAATTTGGATCCCTGAGGATCAAACACTGGAACAGGAGTATACATGCAAACTCTTTGGACATCTCTACTGCTTGTTCTGCTGAGCTTGAAACCATACTGTCTCCAGGTCCCACATAAAATCCAACAACTCTGTTCCCATCACGTGCTGACACATAGCGATCCTATGGTGTGTCCTCTTTGATTGGAGGGGAAAAACATTCTGTCAAATCTCTCCACCCTCATGACCCTCTAAGGATCTAGGGAAAGATAGGTGAGAGTGAGACTCCCTGCAGGAAGGGTCTGCGTCCCAGCTCCGCAGGAAGCAACTTCAGAAGACTGACTTTCTCCCTTCAGCCCCGCTTACTAAAAGATTTTTGGGACCCACTTTCTCAGAGGGAAATAACACAGGAACAAATATGGGGGGGCACATAAAGGGGGAGGAAACCAGCTAAGGCAGGGTTTACCCACTGACCCAGTTCCACCCTGAAACCTACCACTACCCCACCTCTTCATCTGCTCCTGTGGTTAAAAAATTTGCTCCTGGCTGGGGATATAGTTCAGGGGCATAAGTGCTCGCCTGGCAAGCCTGAGGTCATGAGTTCGATTCCCGGTACCCCTCCAAATAAATAAATAAAATAACAATTACTTCTGTGGCCCAAGAGCCAGAGGGCCAAACCATGGTACTCAGAGCAGGGAAAGTCCCCTGATGTGCACTGAGCACTAGCGCGCCCTCAGGTGGGCC